ACTTTGTAATACATGATGACTTACTCTGCACAATGACTTTGTATTCATGACTGAATTACTTTGAACAATGACTTTGTAATACATGATTGACTTACTCTGAACAATCACTTCGTAATACATGATTGACTTACTCTGAACAATGACTTTGTATTCATGACTGAATTACTTTGAACAATGACTTTGTAATACATGATTGACATACTCTGAACAATGACTTTGTAATACATGATTGACTTACTCTGAACAATGACTTTGTAATATCTTACTGACTTACTCTGAACAATCACTTTGTGAAACATGACTAACTTACTTTGAATAATGACTTTGTAATACATGAATGACTTACTATGAACAATGACTCTGTAATACATGACTGAATTACTCTGAACAATGACTTTGTAATCTCTTATTGACGTACTCTGAATAATTACTTTTTATCCATGACTAACTTACTCTGAATAATTACTTTTTCATCCATGACAAACATATTATGAACAATGACTTTGTAATACATGACTGACTTACTCTGAACAATCACTTTGTATTCATGACTGAATTAATTTGAAAAATGACTTTGTAATACATGATTGACTTACTCTAAACAATGACTTTGTAATACATGGTTGACTTACTCTGAACAATGACTTTGTGATATATGCTTAACTTACTCTGAACAGTGACTTTGTAAAACATGACTGAAAAACTCTGAACAATGACTTTGTAATACATGACTGACTTACTCTGAACAGTGACTTTGTAATTCATGACTGAATTAGTCTGAACAATGACTTTGTAATCTCTTATTGACGTACTCTGAACAATGACTTTGTGATATATGACTAACTTACTCTGAACAATGACTTTGTGATATATGACTAACTTATTCTGAACAATGACTTTGTAATACATGACTGACTTACTCTAAACAATGACTTTACAAAAGATGACTAACTTACTCTGAACAATGACTTTGTAATACATGTCTAACTTACTCTGAACAATGATTTATAATACATGACTGACTTACTCTGAACAGTGACTTTGTAATCTCTAATTGACGTACTCTGAATAATTACTTTGTAACCCATGACTAACTAACTCTGAATAATTACTTTTTGATCCATGACTAACTTACTCTGAACAATGACTTTTATAATGCACGACAAACATACTATGAACAATGACTATGTAATACATGACTGACTTGCTCTGAATAACGGCTTTGTAATACAAGATTGACTTACTCTGAATAATGACTTTGTAATACATGACTGACTTACTCTGAACAATTGCTTTGTAATACACGACTGACTTAATATGAACAATGACTATTTAATATATTTCTGACTTCCTCTGAACAATTACTTTATGATACATTTCTAGCTTACTCCGAATAATGACTTTGTTATACATGATTGAGTTAATATGAACAATGACTATTTAATATATTTCTGACTTCCTCTGAACAAAAACTTTTTTAATCCATGATTGAATTACTTTGAACAATGACTTTGTAATACATAATTGATTTACTCTGAACAATGACTTTGTAATGTCTTACTGATTTACTCTGAACAATGACTTTGTAATACATGACTGACTTACTCTGAATAATGACTTTGTAATACACGACTGACTTACTCTGAACAATTACTTTTAATATCTTACGGATTTACTCTGAACAATCACTTTGTGATATATAACTAACTTACTCTGAACAATGCCTTTGTAATACATGACTGACTTACGCTGAACAATGACTTTGTAATACATGACTGACTTACGCTGAACAATGATATGTAATATAGATTGACTTATTCTGAACAATGACTTTATAATATCTTACTGATGTACTCTCTATAATCACTTTCTATTCCATGATTGAATTACTCTGAATAATGACTTTGAAATACATGTTTGACTTACTCTGAACAATGGCTATGTAATATCCTACTGACTTACTCAGAACAATGACTTTGTAATACATGACTGACTTACTCTGAACAGTGAGTTTGTTATACATGACTTAATTACTCTGAACAATGACTTTGTAATATCTTATTAACGTACTCTGAACAATGACTTTTACAATACATGACAAACATACTATGAACAATGACTTTGTAATACATGATTGACTTACTCTGAACAATGACTTTGTAATACATGATTGACTTACTCTGAACAATGACTCTGTAATACACAACTTACTTACTATGGACAATGACTTTGTAATACATGACTGACATACTCTGAACAGTGACTTTGTAATACATGACTGAATTAGTTTGAACAATGACTTTGTAATCTCTTATTGACGTACTCTGAATAATTACTTTGTGATTATGACTAACTTACTCTGAACAATGACTTTGTAATACATGACTGACTTACTCTGAATAATCACTTTGTAATAAACGACTGACTTACTCTTAACAATTACTTTTAATATATTACAGACTTACTCTGAACAATCACTTTGTGATGTATGACTAACTTACTCTGAACAATGACTTTGTGATATATGATTAACTTACTCTGAACAGTGACTTTGTAAAACATGACTGAAAAACTCTGAACAATGACTTTGTAATCTCTTATTGACGTACTCTGAATAATTACTTTGTAATCCATGACTAACTTACTCTGAACAATGACTTTTACAATACATGACAAACATACTATGAACAATGACTTTGTAATACATGACTGACTTACTCTGAACAATCACTTTGTAATACATGATTAACTTACTCTGAACAATGACTTTGTATTCATGACTGAACTACTTTGAAAAATGACTTTGTAATACATGATTGACTTACTCTGAACAATGACTTTGTAATACATGATTGACTTACTCTGAACAATGACTTTGTAATAACTTACTGACTTACTCTGAACAATCACTTTGTGATACATGACTAACTTACTTTGAATAATGACTTTGTAATACATGAACGATTTACTCTGAACAATGACTCTGTAATACATGACTGAATTCCTCTGAACAATGAATTTTTAATATCTACCTGACGTACTTTTAACAATTATTTTGTAATCCATGATTTACTTACTTTGAACAATGACTTTGTAATACATGACTGAATTACTCTGAACATTTACTTTGTAATCCATGACTGACTTGCTCTGAACATTGCCTTTTTGATACATGACTGAATTACTTTGAACAATGACTTTGTAATATCTTACTGACGTACAATGAAATATGACTTTGTAATATATGACTGAATTACTCTGAACAATGACTTTGAAATACATGAGTAACTTACTCTGAACAATGACTTTGTAATATACAACTAACTTACTATGAACAATGACTTTGTAATACATGACTGAATTACTTTGAACAATGACTTTGTAATATCTTACTGACGTACAATGAAATATGACTTTGTAATATATGACTGAATTACTCTGAACAATGACTTTGAAATACATGAGTAACTTACTCTGAACAATGACTTTGTAATATACAACTAACTTACTTTGAACAATCACTTTGTGATACATGAATGAGTTATTCTGAACATTTACTTTGTAATCTTTTACTGACTTACTCTGAACAATGACTTTGTAATATACAACTAACTTACTTTGAACA